TGCGAATTCGCCCTACAGGGAGAGGGGCCTAGAGAGTGATTATTTCGTGTTTTGGTGGTTTGCTAGGCCTCGTGTGATTTCCTTTTGTTGATGTGTTTCCGTTTTTGTCTGCAGGCATTATGGGAAAGAACTTGTGGTGCGAGCTTAAGCACCGCTACAACGTTATCGAGCTCGAGGTTCCCGAGCCTCCGGAGGAGAAAGTTGCCCCCCTGAAGGTTAGCCGGAAGAGAAAAAGGGGGGGAAAAGAGGTCGGGGGAACCTCCGCCCCTCCAGGTGCCGAGGAGGTGACCTCCAAGGCCGTTGACGCTGATGCGGTGGATCTCACTGAGAGTCCACCGTCTAAAGAGGCTCCCCCAGTGGGGGCTGGGGAGGCGGCCCAGGCTGCTGAGCCTACCACGCAGGTCGCCGATGTGAGTGTCGTACTTCCTTATACGTTTCTTCTGTGTTAGACTTTGCTTGGTTTATTGTGGTGATATGGGTTTTCTTGTAGGCGGGGGTGGTCGTCACTGAGGTAGGAGTACGGGCGGTTGAGCAAGTTGCTCGAGTTGCCGAGGTGGTGAGTATTGTTTCTTCGGCTTTTCGTTGCCTTTTATTATGCTTTCTTGTCTTTTGACCTGGGATCGTTTTTCGCAGGCAGGAAATGCTACCGGGATGGCGACCTCCGGCGCTGGGCCAGTCGCTCCCGCCGTCGAAGAAGTGGTCCCAGCCACCGAGCGGGCCTCCCATGCTGCTGGGGTAAACAGTGTTAACTTGTTTTTGTGATTCCCCGTATGCCACCTTGTTTATTTTCTGACATGGGGTTAGTTTTCGCAGGCGAGGTCGGAGGTTCTCATTGTGGACTCCCTGGATGCCGAGCAGGGGACGTCGGTTTCTGCCTCCGTTGAGGCTCGCGGAGGGGGCCCGAGTTGTGAGGCTCCTCCGTCCACTGTTGCGGCCTCGGCGCCGCCTTCGGGCTCGCCACAAGGGGCTTCCCGGAGCGGATATTTGGCCCATCGCTTCGGGAAGGGCCTTTCGAAAGTGCAGCTGGACCACGTGCGTGCCTCAGCCGACATGGACTCACTGTGGAGCTCGGGGGTGACCACTGAGAGGTTCTTCCCTCAGGGTTCGTTGAGCTCCGAGGACCAGGGGCTGATAGAGGAGGTCGGTCCTGAGGATAGTTTCGATGCTGCTCAGGTCAGCTTCGTGTTTGGCACGCATGTTGCGGAGGTTAGTGTCATGCTGCTAGCGCATCTGTTCGACTTGGTCGATCAGCCTTCTCAAGGTTGCAGCGTCGCTGTCCATGGTGACTGAGTGTTCAGCGTCCTCTGTTGCACGTCTGTTGTGGCTTCTTGTGAATACCATACGGGTGGCCGATAAGAGCTGTCTCGATCGGCCCCACGGTGGGCGCCAAATGTTCTTACCGGAATTTGTCGTAGGGATGATCTTCCAAGTAAGATTGGTGAGCCTCCTTTACTGGTACGCTGATGCTCCAAGATGGGGGTGGTACCTGCAAAAGAGACTCCGATGCTAAAGTTAGGGTTTGTATGAGTAATAGTCTCCTATATGTAATGCACGTACCTTGGAGCGAATTAGGTTTGCTTTGGGCTCTGGGCCTGAGATAAGATATGATAGCGGATCTCGTCTGGGGCGAGATCTTCGGTGATCAGTGATTGGATAATGGATCTCGTATGGGCGAGATCCTCGGGAATCAGTTGTGATTCACCTGGATGCCGAGCTGACGTCGTATGACGCGTGCCCGAGATCATCTCGCACTATGATGCCGAGCTTGGAGCTCGGCTTCGCGGTATGGTCAGTACAGAACATTTTAAAAAATAAAATATTAAAATTAATTTAAAACAATAAAAGATTAAAAGTATAATTTAGAAAAATAAATAAATAAACAAGTAAGTTAAATATAGATTTGCCGGGAAGAAAAAAAAAAAAAATGAAACGGCGTGAAGATGCAGATAAGGGTTAGATAGAGATGGTAGAGTGGAGTAGGAGTGAGAAAAGAAGAGGGGGAGGGGTGCAAATAGAATAATGCACCTCAGCTAAACACCCATATTCACTATTCACTATTCATATTTTCTATGATCACATGGGATTTCTATCTTCCACCTTCCACCTTCCACCATTGATTTCATGACCAATCGTCTCATTCTCCTTCATCGGATCTTAAAACTCATTACACTATATTGTTTCATATTCATTGCCACACCTTTCTTAAAATAGAAAATCATAGTGATATATATATTTGGGTATAAGTATTTAATATCATTTATTAAACCTTTTAATTAGTTGTCAATATTTATGTTCTAAATGATAAGGGTTGAATTTTAGTCTCGTACATAAAATATTATATGAACACTATAAACTTTCTATTTGTCTTATTTGCACTTCAACAAGGGTAGCAATGGCAATGGAGTGTACAGTAACCCATTATCACCTGCATAAATATCTATTTAATGAGTATTATGAATTTTATATGTATTTGTAGATATTAATAATGTTTTATATAAGCATATTTTATAACATCTTAACTAAGATAAATAAATAAAAACATTTTTTGCTTCAATGTGAGAGATAAAAATAATCAA